CCTCTCTCATCTTTTTAAATGGGAGAACTTGCACAATTGGTGGCTGACTAAATACTTTTTTGCCCCACTGTATATTTCTTTCATGATTCCCCTATCATTGATTAGAAATATGTTCGTTTTCCAAACAATTGCCAACATGCCCAATCACTCAAATTCAATGGCCGCATGAAAATCAGCCAATGCTAAGGCCCACCAACGGTGCGAAATTCGAATGAAAATTCTTAAGTTACTATTTTTGAAAGAAAATGATTTTGGAATTTGACCTATGTATGGCCTGCATAACCCTGGGTCCACATTTTATTGGAAACCAGCATTTGATTATGCAGGTGCACACAGAATATTTATTATAGAGCTGATGCTGTTCAGGGTTCTTTCCCTGAAAATAAGCTGCTGCACAAGAACAAACAAGGGAAGAGTGCTTGTTCTGGCCTCCAGGAGAGGCAATCAGACCAAGCCCATTGACTGGGACAGGTATTAACCTCCCTAGCGGTCTGATTATGTCAGTATTTCTGTGCTCAAAGCGGTACATTTTTTTGCATGAAAATATGTCGTTTTTTTATTGTAGGCCTGTAATTTTTAGGAATAACTCACTGAAATCTGTCCGAACAAGAGTCTAGTAAACATCCCGGGTATGATAAAATTTTAAACACAAAATCATAAATTATAATATAATAAATAATCATAAAAAATAATAATATAATATTAATAATAAATGTAATTCAATAATATAGCCAAACCAAAAACACTGAAATTTGAAATATAGCGCCAAGTTTGCACATCACTGGGCAAAGTCGCAAAATTGTTTTCAGTGTCTGATGACGAATTTCCCCACAAATCATTATCACTCAATTCTGCAAGTGGTTCAGATTTACTATCGCTGTTCTCCAGCTGGTCTAAAACCGCTTTTGACCTAAAGGGACGCTTTTTGGACGCCATGGACATTTCTCAGTTTCCAGGCAGAAAGAACAGTAAAAATGCAGGCAGGGCACAGGACAAAGCACGTAGTGTTACTATGTGATTTTAGTGTATTGAGTGAATGTCACTTTTAAATTTTTGAATTTCCCGCCGGTTCCGTCCCCCGTACGTCCTGTATGTCCCGACACTCGCAGGGAATGGAACCCGGAAGACGGATTTTGGCATCGGCCGGAGGAGATGGCCGGGGACGCTGCAGGGGGATATCGTGGGAGCGAAGGACAAGGTAAGTGCTCTAGGGATCCTGGAGCAACGCTGCAGGGTATTCCCGAGTGTAGCTCAGGGGTTATCTCTTTTGGTACTGAAAGTTTACCCCGAGCTACACTCCGGAATACCGCCAGGAAGGCTAAGAGACTGTGAGGTTGATTTAGTAAAGGCAAATAGATTTTGCACTTTGCAAGTGCAGTTGCTCCAGAACTTAGTAGAGGTAAAGCTTCACTTTGAAAATAATACCCAATCACATGCAAGGAAAATTTAAAAAAAAAACACCATTTCCCCTTGCACATGATTGGATGATGGACATCAGCAGAACTTTTCTTCATTTACTAAGGTCTGGAGCAACTACACTTCTTAAGTGCACAATCGATTTGCCTTTAGTAAATCAACCTCTTTGTGCTGGGCAGTTTGTCGCAAGGCTAAATGAGATAACTTGGTGAGTCTGTGCAGGAACAGGTTCAGGGACTACACAGTATAGATAACAAGCAGGCTGGAAAATGTATATTTGCCGTTGTGCCTCTAAAAGCCACTGCAAGGATTACCTTTTGGGAGATTCTTTGAACATTACTTTAAATTAAACTGCAAAAAGCCCTGAAACATACTTCACTTGACTGAAGTTAATGAAAGGCGCTACCCTTAAGTTGAGTCCTGACAATATTCATTGCAGCTCTGAATCATGTGCACATTTCTCTAAAAAACACTGCAGATACAGAAAATACTGTACTTGTTAATCTGTAAGAGATCCAGTGAGGATCTACCTTTCTCTTTGAGCTAACAATACTGTGCTTCTGCTGCACTGAAATACCAAGCAGAGTTGCAATTACCGCATGGGTTCTCCTCTGCTATGCTACAGAACATCCCCCTTCCTTTCTTTATCTCCTTATTAAAGGGGGTTTCTGTAGTCCATGAGGGGACAACTCAGGCAGATCTGACAACACAGCTTGGGATTTCTTTGTTGCAGAGGCACAGTATCAGCTCAAATATGATGTTTGGCACTCACTAGATTTCAGACAGAACAACTGGTATTTTTCTGTAACTGCAGTAAGAGAAGATAAAATGTCTATGTACGCACGGATATACTGATTTTTTTTTTTTGATTTGCCGAGATGTACACTGTTTATCAAACATTATTTGATGAATTTCACAAGCATTTTTTCCAGGTTGCACAAGCTATTTCCTCTAGCACTATGACTTCCTATGACCGTCAGCTCCATCTAGGGGGCAAAATGCTGTAAATTTTCTGATTGAAGCAGTTAAGAAAAATATACTGCATTCTGGCCACTAGATGACGCTGATGACCATAGGAAGTCATAGTATTAAAAAAAATACGGGGAAAATTAATGCAGGCCTGACAAATGTTTGTGACATTCATCTAGCTCGTGTTTTTATAAATAAATCCCTTGCAACAGACTTTGTAAATCCACAGGATAAACCTAGGATAAACCTAGATTTGGAAGTACCAAGTAGATGGTACTTCCAAATCTACCAAATGAAAACCTTTACATATTAAGTTTCCAGATTTATGTATATGGTGTATACGTCCAGTCTTTAAATTAGTTTTCCAACATTTGCTGAAATATTGCTAACCTTCTATTGTTACTAAATGTTCCTAATGTATTCTTTGCTACCAAATATAAGAAAATTATTTGTCCAGACCAGGATTCAGTCTGGATCAGGCAGAGTTGTGGGTTCTGATATATTTAAAAATCATTTTATATCTGCCTTATCAGCTGATTAGATTCACATCTAGATTCTCTTCCTGAACTTCCATGAGTGTGGCCTCCCATGTACAGGATCTTGGGCTCCCTGATATCACTCTCTAATCTCCAGTCAGTAGACAGATCAATATAATTGCTCATTTTAAATAGATAACAGACTTGGGAACTATAAGGGGGAGTGTTCCTCTGCCGTTTCAAGCTAAAAAGTATACCCTGTTTCTATGAGTGACTTTGTAATTATTTACCATAGAGTATTTAGATCATTTTCTTATGATTAGTATCTAATCAAAAATATAATCGCACCCAATAAGTCCTAGAACGATTATTCAGTAGTTTCTATTGGTTTATTCGCTATTCGACTAGAAGTCAGAGAGTGAAGATGAGAAGCAGCATTCAATGCCAGCATGTTGCATGTCCTTCCTTTCCAAGCTATTTTTCCATTTTCAGCAATATCAAACTTTGACTGACAATTATTCAGTCAACTCTGTACCTAAATTAAGTTTATCTCAATGCTTTGAGACCGACAGAGCTCTCTTTGGGTGGTATTTATTAAACTCTGGTGTTTTTATTCTTTATATTACAAAAGAAAAAAGACAAACATTTTGAAAAAAAAAAAAAAGGTTTCCCTTCCTTTGTGCAATAAAACTTATCAAATAAAAAGGGTATTATAAAAAAAACCCAAAATGACTACTGTTTGGAAAGTGGAAAACCCAAGGTATTCATCTTATTTCATTTTGGAAATGAAAAAAAATGCTGATATTGAGGTTGCTAAGGTGCGCTTAGCCCTTAAAAGTCAACAACTCAAGCCAAGTGCAAATCTTAAAAACAGAGGTATACCGCTCAGGCAAACAATCCAGATCAATCTACAACAGGTGCAGGCTCTGGCTCACCACCACACACGGTACAACAGAAAGAAGGGTCAGCCGCACACCGGAGGATTGATGAATATAGTGTATATTAATTGATCCATAGGACACACAAAGCAGCAGGAAATGAATACAGGACCTGTTAACGCGTTTCACACGATCTCATACTGAATCATGAATAAACTCTAAACCTGTAAAAAATAAACTCAGAAACGCATGTAAATATCCACAATGAGGATTATGTGAGTGCATATCTTACTGTTACCTACATTTATTAATAAACGCAGTATTACACTATGTGGAGCTTCTGCTTACAGTATATTCTATGAGAGTTACTGGCCATACTCACTACACAACGGGTAAGAGGTCTGCCATTACATATACCAGTCTGAAAGAGGTCATCCAGGACAAAGTGATGCGGTTATGGAGGAGCTTTACACATGAAGGATCCAGTGATAGAGATCCTAGTAGCGTTGTGACTCTTTACGGGTTGACGCGGGGAGGTGAGCGCGCATTTTTGCCATTAGTGGATGCCCTCTTGTCACCATCTGCACAGATCACTTAAGTTCACAAGATTTCATATTTTATGTGTATTGCACCCATCTTGGACATTTTTTGTTATATTAGGGTGTGCTATATATATGTATGTTCTGCACGGCATGAGATATATTTTTTGCACTATATGCATGTAGATATATTGATTTGTGTTTTTCATCGTTTTATTGAGTATTTGCACGAAATGTTATGTATTTTTTCACATATTGATTTAGTGGATTGGTTCATTTTGTATAAATGTTACATGTACATGCGCTTTGATACTTTATGTGGGGTATAATTTTTTGAGAAATTTGGAGCACCTATAGTAGTCCTATCATTGGATTACTAACGATCACGTGAAGATTGGACATTCAGTCCAGATTGGTGTGAGTGTTGTGTGGTTTGTTTTTTATGCACATACACTGTGTTTAGGCATCATTATCAGCTTATGCATGTTCCTTTTCACTTATATAGTTGGCATTTATCACATGCACTATAATATCACTTTATTTGTGTATTCATTTTATTTGTTTTATTGTGGATATTTACATGCATTTATGAGTTTATTTTTTACAGGTTTTGGGTTTATTCATAGGTAGCAGTGCCACATCATTTCCTTTTCATTATTTGATTTATCATCTGGTATATGATTGGATGTTGGCAGCTTCATTTGATCTTCTTAGTATAGGCTTAGTAGCGCAGGAGGTTTACACTTTTCATACTGAATCATAACCATGATTAAGCACGAGATCATGTGAAACCAGGGGCGGACTGACCTTTTGGAAACTCGGGCACTGCCCGAGGGACCGGGGTCAGTAGGGGGACCCATGAGATGCCCCTGGTACCTTTTTCATAGGCTTTTTTGAGTTTGGGCAAGGACACAGGGGCCCCATGATCCCCTATTGCCCGGGGGCCCCATGAGTTGTCAGTCCGCCCCTGTGTGAAACGCATTAACAGGTCCTGTATTCATGTTCTGGTGTTTTGCATGTCCTATGAATCAATTAATATACACTATATTCATCAATCCTCCAGTGTGCTGCTGATCTTTCTTCCTGTTGCAAGTGCAAATCTTGCTTTATTATTGGAGAAAAAAATTGTATTTCTCCAATATTGCATTAAGTTCAAAGGCTAGATTTTATGGAAAACCTCAAAACACATTACCCCACCCACAAGGCAATCCCACAATCATTGGTGGTCTGCGCCATTTTAACAACCCTACACCCCAACCTACCATCATTGGTTTGTGGTCAGCGATATTTCAATCCCCTCTCCAAAATCAATCCCATATCATTAGTGGTCAGTGGCATTTTAAATCCCTCCCCCAAAAAATCCCACAATAATTGGTAGTCTATGGTTTTTTAAACCCCATCAAGCCCTCCCAATTATTGACGGTTGCTGGCACTTTAAATCCTCCCATGCAAACAATCAAATAACATCAAACAACATTGAATGAATCCTTCTCTCTTTTGCAGCCTTTTTCTCCTCTTTTCAATCTTCCTGTTGTGATCCTTTTACCCTTCCTCCGTTGTGAAGGATTGGGGAGTAATGTATAATGTAAACAGTAGTACTATTTACATTTATGATCAATGTGATTGGCCATCCCAGAAACCACATGGCACAAAGCCACTTTTATTGGCTCTGTGCCTTTAGCCTATAATCACCACTGTATAATAGGGGCAAGATCATAGGCATTGTGGGTGCTCTGGGCGTGTGCACCAGCAGTAAATAGAGGGATATTTTAATTGTCCACTAATAATTGCTCCTTCTAGCAAAATTATTTACTTCAATGGTCAGTGGAAGGATGATACAAAACAGTTGATCTTCTTTTCTTGTTACATTTCATTTGCCATGCCTATTAATCAACAAACCTTAGAGAAATCAAAGTTCTCAATCTTCCACTTTAAAGTGGAACTAAACCCATTGATTTAACAGCTTCAAAAAACAGTTCTGGAATGCTAACTTGTGCTCTCAACCAAACTGTCAAGCCATCAAATGGCTGGTGTCATGATTGATCACATGTGCAGCATCATTTTAGTTAAGGATCAATCAGAGACTAAGATGGCAGCTTACTTGCCTAAAAAGAATAGAAGGGTTTAGTTCTGTTTAAAGTTTTGTTTTAAATAAAGGAGCTATTAAAGGACTATTGCTTTTTACAAGTTATGTGTTTTTCTTTCAACTTAATCCATAGTCACTAAGCTGAGTATGGTTGGCTAAAATTGGAACATAAGCCACCAATTTTCCCAAAAACAGTTACAATCAAGGCATGTCTTGAATGACACATTTTTACAGTTACTAGAGAAGTGATGTCAGCGTTAAACGGAACTGCCATAGCTGGTCACATGTGTAGCACCATGGCAACTGCAGATCCAACAGAGGCTAAGATGGCAGCTCCCTTGGCTGTAAAGGATAGGAGGGTTTAGAAAGGTTCCACTTTAATTATTTTATCACACTATTTAAGAAAGTTAAAGTAGTGTAATCAATCTAATGAGTTGTTCCAATACCAAAACACCATAACAAAAGGTCATGGCAATCTCTACTCACCAACTATTTATTGCTTCATGATTACTTAAAGTTTTAAGTTAGTGTATATGTTCAGTAAAAATGATTTATACATTCCTATCATCTTTTGTCAAATTGTCACTAATTATGATTTTAAATTGATCTTTTTTCATTGTCTCTATACCTCTATCTATCCTTTGTTACTTGCCATAATCGTGACTAAATTGTAACATATCATATGTTGTACATGCTGCATATTTGTTTGATTTTGGAAAGAAATACTATTTGAACTAGATTAAGGAGGAGGTCCAGTCTAATTCTGGGGACTCAAATAAGTTGTATAAAATGTAATATTCTTAAATGGTTTGCAGCCAACTGGCACGCGCTATTCTTTAATGATAACACAGAGCTCGACATCCAAACGCCTTTGCTAACCTTTCATGAGAAAATATTTTTGAAGAGTTGCCAGAAAATGAGTTTTCATGTCTCTTGTACAATCCAATATTGATAATCTGAACATCATTTCAAATCCAGAGTTAATCAATGCAATGTCCGGCTTTATATTGGGTGGGTGGCTGAGACCATTGAGATTTCAAATACATTACAAATAGAATTATTGAGAGATTTTCAAAAATGTGTTAGTCTAATGGTATATATCATTGTGATGGCAGAGGCACAGATAATGTTCTAAATTGTTTAATTCATTGTTGGGGGGGAACTATAACATAAGATAAGCCTAAAAGTATAAAGTAAAAAAAACAAGGATACTATACTGTAACTAAACATTATTTTAGTTTATTTTCGTTTTCTGTAGAGTGAAGGATTGAAATACCTGCAAGGTGTGGGTTTTTTTTTTTGGTTGGTTGGTTTGTTTCAGTTGTCTGCATCTGCTTAAAGAGATTTCCCTTCATTTCCTGTCTCAGAGACACAACAGGAAGTGAGGAAAAAAATCTTTAAAGTAAGGGAAAATCCCCTCTTAGACAGTTTTCAAAAGAAACTCCTACTTGGATTTCTTTTATAAGTAACAGTTTTTATTGAAGATTGTTCAATACAAAAAAATAAAGTAGCGAACATACATATAGCTCACCGTTTGGTTTATCTCAGAGAAAGAAAACTTTTGTACCTGCAATCAAAAGTAAACAGTTATCCACAGAAAAACACATTTATGGTGGTGTATAGACGTTCATCTTCATATATATGGTCTATGCAAGTGTAGCTGGAGCTGGAGTAGCCGGAAGTGCAATGAGGAGCTTCTAGTGTTGACATAAGTACGTGGAAAATGCCTTCTCATTAATTACCATAAGTGACTGAATCATCAGTGCAGCCATATAGAAAACTAGAGAAAGAAGGGAAGAGAGGAAAAAATAAGATAAAAGTCTAAATGAAAAAAAAGTAGCATAGAAGAGGAACAGAACCACCTCCTCCCACCTCTCAGACTCAAGAATCGAACACAGGAACAAAGTGACCACGGCAATACTGAAGATCTACTCTTCTTGGTTTTTTTTTTATGAGTTTCTGTTCCTGTGACAATGCTCAGCATGGGTTGAATCTCTCCAATGGAGGAATGGACATTATTTACCTGACAGATTTTCTAACCCTTCTGCAGTCTATCCAAAACTAAAAATGTAAGTTTTGGCTACATAACCATTTTAAAATGTTTAGATTTCTTGTTGACAGGATATTCTGAGCCTAATATTACAAAGGCAGGATTTGCCTACTGGGCCCAGGTTTGCCTCAAAGCTGGCCTCCAGACATGAAAAACATTCAATTTATATTATTCCTCATAAGCCACAAAGAACATAAACCCACTTTGTGAGCAGCATATGCACTTACCTGATTATAACCTTAAAAGTAGCAGTGACATCTTTACTGTGCTTTTCATAACCTGTGCAGAGAGCAGAGCTGTGGGACAGACCCAGCAGGTCCAGCCACTACAGGAGGGGCAGAGACAAGACCAGTCACTCTGCAGAAAGAGAGAGAGCTGCAGTGACAGGTCTTCATTACGGGAAGCTCCTGTACCAAGGCAAAATTTCACACTAGATTATGCACAGATATGGAAGAAACACACACAGAACACCAGAATTAAAGCAAGAATATCAATGCCTTTTGTTTTTAGACAAAATTTACTTTTTCTGGAATTCAGCATTAATTGGAATTAATTTCACTCTTCCTTGCCACAAAATAAAGACTTTACTTACCTTTCCTACCTACCACCTTTTATAGCACATATTTTTCTGCAATAGTACAGGTGCTATTTATTTGTCTGAACATTTTAGTAGAAATGAAGGTGCAAGAACATCCACAAATACTGGAACAATCTCCCTCTCTGTTGCCTCTTCACTCATAACTTAATTTATGTGCATCTACCAGTCCCCTACAAAACATTTATTTTAGTTTTGAATACAGTGGAGAGGGCTCAGATCCTATATCAGATTGTGATTCGTGTCTCTTCCCCCAATGGGATGATTTCCCTTCTCTTCCTTTTCTGTATGATGGAGTTTTTTTTTTACCTCCTATTCTGTCTGACACCCATCAAATAGACAGGGAGTGTGGGAAATCTTTTAATGGTAATATAGACAACAACAAAAACTTCCCTGACATTCTACTTCTCTCCAAACGTTAAGAGGTTTAAAAGTAAATGCCTAAAGCTTTGTACATGAGCTATTGTTTTTTGTGTTCCTATAGCTCTTAGACCAGGCGTTCGTAACCTTTTTATGATTACAGACCCCCAATGGATTGCCCAGTCTTTCTCCATATTCCCTTTGCCAACATCATCATGTTCATCATCAGTCCTTTTATGTACCAGTATGGCATCAAAAATGTCAAGTGCACTTGTAATCTACCAAGTTCTCTGTTGTGTTCCTTTATCACTGGCTAATACTGTCTCCATGTCAGTCACCTGTGGGTCCAACCTATGTAAGGCATCCCATAGATGGATCTTTTTTTTAGCCAGTGGGTTGAGTGAAAAAAAACTGATCTATTCTTCTGTCCACACATTGGAAGTGGATAAGGGAATTCTCCCTGCTGAGCTATTGTATCTGACAGAGGGGAGTTTCCCCCTCCATCAGAATACACAGATCAGCATTGCAGGCTATAGTTTCCAGCACTGATCGAGTGGTGAAAATCTGACAGGGCAGTTGTACAGAAGTCAGTTGGTAGACTTCTGTACAACCTCCCTGCCCATACATGGATTGACATTTGTCCTTTCCCTGGTAAACCAGCTGAATTTCAATCCATGTGTGGCTGGCTTAATTTGTCATTTGGAAGAACATTTACCTATTGGTTGTTTTTTTTAAACTAAAAAAAAGGGGTGTGTGGGCCTTTATTGTTGTACCACATCTTCTAATTGTATCATTAAAAGGAGGGGGGGGGGGGTTGAACAAGGGGGACTTTTAGGGTACCCAATTATTACAAATCGGTTAAAAAAAAGTGCAAAGCTTTGTATGATTCATCATATCTTA